ATGCCAAGAAAATAACCCAGATGATGTCATCAAGATTATCAGAATTTGGGCTTGATGACTGTAAAATTATAACAAGAGGGCTGCGTTTCAAACTGGGAGTATGGAGTTTGAAAAATGAAGACACTAACCAGGCAGGGACGGTCTAATAAAACATGCTATTGGTTGATTTATTGAAACTGTAGGATCCAGTGTTTCTGGAGCCTGACTCTCATTTAAAAGTCAAAATATTTGGGCCTCTGCTGCTTTGATTTTCTTTTTAATTTAATTATGTTTTTTTAATCTTTTATAAGAGGTCACCCAATTGTATGAAATTGTTTTACTAAATCACAGGAATACCCCTTTAATACTTACACACATGAATCTGCATTGGTTATGAATCTTGTGTCATCTTTGAGTATTCTCATATCCTGCTCAAACACAGTGTGCAAGTTAATTTGCTGCCTTTTGTCTTATTTGATTCTCCCCATGACCTTAACTTTGAGATCAGGTGTTGCACCGCAAATGTTTGACTCTCAGGTTTGTTTCACATAATTCAGTTTATTCAGGCTGCTGCAGTGAAATGTGACTCATGTTTAAGGTCAGCATCTTTTAGTTGAGGTTTATAGGTCTGTTGGGTGGAGGCAGAAAACTTTACTTTTAATCCTGTTTTAGAACATTGGTTCCCAAGGAGTGGGGATCCATTGTTGCTCTATCACGAGTGGGTCAATTTCATAACAAAATAAATGAATAAATGATTGTCGTGTGCTTTCCAGAGCCTGAGGAAAGGCTAACATGCCACAACAAGCTGAAGAAGTATGAAACAGAATGTGTTCAACTTTGTTTAATTTAAACTGAACACAATAAAGAAAAAACATGTTTGATGCAGAGAAGTACTGGTATGGGTTGAAACTAAGCAGCAACTTCTGGGGCTGAAAAATGATACCAACAAGTGCAAAAAACTGCAGTTCCTCAAATTACCTGGCTCCAAAAATGAGTCAATCCTTATAGACTCCCATGTTAAAATGTCCAACTTTACAGCAGAAATAAACAATTACAATTACAGCCTGGTACACAAAACAGTTTTGGTCTCTATAGCTAATTTCCTCCTTCATGACAACTGTACGGGGGGTGAATTTTTATATTACTCACCCTTTAAGCCTTAATAAATCAAGTCATGCATAATTGTGGGCATGGCCTCTTTGAGTGATAGGTGGGTGAGCGTATGTTTGCCACAAACCACCATGCGCTGAAGTCTCAGCTCCACACATGCCCCTCTGCTTTGCCCACTGTTGGATTAGCCAGGAATTAGGTGGAGTAAGGCACTGCCAAGAAGGCGGTGGTATAGCAGCCCACTCTGAGCTTCGAAAACTCTCTTCAAAAACCTATAGGTGACATCATGGAGGTTACATCCATCTTTGTCTTTAACTCAGCTTGAAAACACCTTTTTTTCTTCATTTTTGCTTTCTTTTTTATCAGGCCTATTTACATGTTAAGCTGTAAAATGGTTTTAGAAGCCTAAATAAGCCTGTCATAGTTGTGCCTGCAATTGCAATGCTTTTTAATGTTTTTTGAAATGTTGCTTGTAAGCCCTAATTGCTACTCTTGCTGCAGTGCTTATTTTACTGAGCTGTAAGCCTCAGTTGTAGCCTACTTTCTTTTCCACCCTTGACTTTTCATCTTTTGTAATAAAATGATGGGTGTATAACTCCATGGATATCTCTGTCTTCTCACAGCATGACAGTCCTGGGTTGGAATCCATTGACAGACAGAATGGGTGTAGATCATGACCTGCAGGGAAAAGCTAAGGCTAGACCAATTGGTAATCATTGTAAGAACACAAATAAGTTTTGGATGCTGAAAGACCTTTTGTTTGAGGCCAGGGCAAGAACCTAGTGTCTAATCTGTCTTACTTCAAAAGGCAAAAACCACTGAAATACAAAAGTGCATCACGTTTGTTCACATGCCTGCCATTGACACAAATGAGTGACGAACACACCACCATCTATTTTGCGCCTCTGTCCACATTTCCATCTGAATGATATGGAGCTATTCTTAGATCTGTGGGAGGATAGATGGGCATCATTTAGATTTTCATTTTCAAAGGCTTCTCTCCTCATCGCTGTAAGCTATTTTCAATCGACCATTTGTCGGGTGCACAGCAAAATGCACAGGATAATGCTAATTATGTGCACAAAGCCTGCTGTAAATGGTGGCTTTGGAGTTTTTGAGAAAAGGATTTTGACAATAAAAATGGCTTCATGACAGATTGCGGGGCTTCTCTGTGTACATGACCTTATTAATATTCAGTTGAGCATCAGTTCCAAAGAAACTAAACTTAGACCAGTGATCTGGAGTCAGCGCTGTTACAACATACTTGAATCTTTGTGGATGGGTGTGACTCTTATCTTAAATTTTTAATAAGCTGCTTTTCTACGCAAAGCATCCCTCAGTTAGTTATTCTGAATTCACTTCCCAGACTATCTGTTATTTACACTCAAGACTTAGAGTCCAGCCACTGTTGACCTTTTCCTGACACCTGTTGAGACATCATATTTTCCCGTAAACATTTGTGGGTTTTGGTCATGACAGTAAGGTGGAGCACATCATGAGGTGCTTCCTCCATCCTCCTCACTACTCCCACAACATTTCTTTGGAATTTTCAACATTGTGAAATTCTCAGGACTTTTGTGTTGCTTTGTATCAACATGACAAAATGTGGAATATATTTTCATACATACACCAAGAGGATGAAAAAAAAAGGGATTTCTTCATGGCTGTGGATGGATGATGTGATGGAATTGCTGGGATCATAATTGTGGTCTATACTCACTGTTGTTGTGTTTCACCTTTTGACACATAATTACCATTTTAACATCATAGACTTTGTGATCAACTAAAGAGCAAGCCCCAGGGGCTGCATCTCAACATATGTGATCTTTGACCTTTAATATAATCTTGCAGGATGTATGCCGTGTACGTGCATCATGCATGCTTAACCTGATGAACGGCAGTCATCCGCAGCAGCACTGCTTTTGAAATGACATAAGAGCGTTTGTAAATGTCCTGAGACTCTTTTGCTCTAATGAAGGCTGAAATAAAAATAGAAAGCAGCAGGAGAAATCCTCTTCTATGTGTCTTAAAATGAGCATTAAAAGCCAATAAGCGGTTCCTTAAGACCTTTAACCTATCCTCAGGGTATTCCCTCTGTTTTTGCCCCAGTTCAGAAAAAAAATGAGGGAGTGACTACTTCGGTTGGTTAGTCACTGGGGAGCTGCAGCAGCAGATTTCATGATTAAACAAGCATGCACTAATCACTAATGGAGCTGTTCTGCAGGACTGAATCAGGAGGACGTCAAAAGAATAAATGAACGAATGAAGGAGTATGAGGATGATGCCATGGGCATGAGTCACTCCTTTATTTTTTAATTACACAACTTCAGTGAATAGCAGCAAACGAAGGTGGTCACATAAAGTCATGAATTGGTCCCAGGAAAATGGAGAGATCTGAGCCACAAGGACAAATGGAACAGAATGGCTTAAATTCAAAGGATATTTGAAATGCTTGACAGGCCTAGAATACAGCAGCTTCATAATGTATTCAGACGCTGTCACTTTTTACACTTTTATAGCACTTTTTACATTTATTTACATTTTAATTTAAATTGAATTAAATAATAAAATAAAAACATAAAATTAATTAAAAATGAAATACAATTGCCATATTATCCATCAATATCCCATAATGGCAAAGTCAAGAAATGTTTAGAAATGTTTGCAAAGTCACTAAAATTCAAAAACTGAAATCTCAGATTTACAGAAGTGTTCAGACCCTTTGCTGTGGAACTCCAAGTTGTGGTCAGGTGCATCCTGTTTGCTTTAATTGTCCTTGAGATGAGAGTAGAACTTGACTGGAGTCCACCTGTGACAAGTTAAATTGATTGGAATAGTTCCCACTATTCACACTGCATGTCAGGACAAAATCCAGGTCATGAAGTCCAAGAAACTCCCTGTAGACCGTATGATAAAATTGTTGAGAGGCAAAGATCAGGACGAGGGTATAAAACCATTTCTAAAGCTCTGAGTGTTTCCAGAAGCACAGTGGCCTCAATGATTGTCAAATAGAAGCAGTTTGGAACGAACAAGACTCTTCATAGAGCTGTCCGTTTGGCCAGCCTGAGTAAACAGGCACAAAAGGTCTTCAAGTCTATCAAGGAGGTGACCAAGAACCCAATGTCTCCCTAACACCTTTAGAAGTCCTCTGGTGGAAGGACGACCGTCTCATCTTATGGTAGAGCAGTTAAATGGATTCCACTTTGATATATGACAGGCCACTTAGAGTTTGCCAATTGGCATTTGAAGGACTCATGAGATCATGAGGGAAAAAATTCTCTGGTCTGATAAAATAAAGATTGAACTCTTTGGGCAGAACTCCAAACACTGTGTCTGGCAAACACCAGGCACTGCTCATCACCTGGATAACACCATCCTTATGGTGAAGCATGGCGGTGGCAGCATCATGGGCAGGGGTAGGAATTGCGGTTTGGTGAAAATTGAGGGAAAGATGAATGCAGCCAAATATGGATAAATAAAACTTTTTTCAAAGAGCATACAACCTGAGACTGGGGTGACAGCTCACCTTTCAGCACGACAATGACCCAAAGCATACAGCCAATAAAATGCTCGAGTGGCTTAAGGTCAAGTCTTTGACTGTCCATTAGTGGCCCAGCCAGGTGTAGGTTGTAGAGACCTGCCCAAGAAGACTTAAAGTTGTAATTGGTGTCAAAGGTGCTTTTGCAAAGTACTGAATTGAGGGTCTGAATACTTTTGTCAGTTTTTGATTTTTGATAAATTTGCAAAGATTTTTGAAAACATGTTTTATCATTATCGGTTATTGAGTGTAGATTAATGGGCTAAAATGTCAAGGTTATCCATTTACATGGTATAATATGACATATGGTGTACAGAAATAACAACAACAACAAACACTTAAAGGCTAACTGTCTTTTTTTTTTTTCAATCAGTGCTCTGGGAGGCTCCTCTGCACTTCATATCCCAGCATTCCCCAGTGGAGGATGTCTAATTGACTATGTCCCTCAAGTGTGCCAGTTACTCACCAACAAAGTAAGTGTTTGCTATAACTCATTTTACTTGCACACAGTGTGGTTAAATGTGCTTTGTGTGTTGTGTATGTTGATGTTTTCACCACAAAGAAATCATTTTTCTGTTGTAGTGTTGGGGTCTCCGTTATTTGACATAATTTCTAACCCTTCATGTCGTTGGTATTTGATTAAGACGAATATTCTTTACTCTTTATGTCAGTGTGTGACAGTTATGTGAATCATTTCCTGCATATATGTAAGGTGCAGTACAGCAAAGCGTGCGTCCACAGAGGGATGTCTTTTCTTGCTGTAATTTGTGTATGTGCACTCAAGCATGTGTGTCTGGCATCTGTCGTCGTGGGCGTACTGGCCAACCTCCATAGGCTGTCTGTGCGCTCCCTGGCCTCCGCAGGTTGACAGGTAGATATGTAGTGTAGACACATATTAATGCCATTTCCCTCAGGAGAAATGCCCATCCCCCGCAGTCCCCATACACATACACAAAAGGCACTAGATACCCTCCATCTCTCCCAATGCACCTGGACTCTGACCAGCATACTCAGGGTGTCTGGGACACATGTGTCCCTGACTGACCTCCATGTCTCTGATTGTTTAAGTCCAGCAGTGTCAGGGCTGCTCCCTCCACCCCCTCAAAGAGTCACAGAGGCCATTGCCTGTGTTTGGAAAGGCACGTTGAAAAACAGAGTCAGTAGCAGATAAAGGCACCATGACACGGAGGAGGAGGAGTCTTTCTCATAATGTCACCGTGACTATTTTAGAGTGCAAGTACAAATTTCCAAGTGTACAGTGTAAGACATCTACAACCCACATCACTCATCACTCCCACATTGATTTCAAGCAGGGCCCCTGGCTCCTTTCAGCATGCAAAGTGTAATCAGCACCGAGCACTGCATGCTGGCCAACTGCTGTTCTGAAGTTGTTCACTATTTTACATTTTAAAATAAAAGAGATAAAGGTTTAGTTTGATGGATTATTTTGCTTTTAGCAATTGTTAATACCGCAACAAACATCTTGCTTCCCTGACGGCTGTGTACAGAGCACTGCAGCCCGCACAACTGAGTGCAACAGCAACTGACTGTCACCTGCTGCTCTCGCGTTTTATTGATAATGAATGAAATGTTTGATCTCAAATGATCTGTCCAAACTCAAAACTTACAGTGTATCAGTGCAAAACCAAATGGAGAAATCTAACGTGCCGTGAATGGATAATCATGAGACCAAACCATTTTAAAGGTGAGAAGCAACATGTGGATAAAGTTTTTATTTGAGACTGTAGATAGAACAAATGAGAATAAAGTCAGGCTGTTTGCTGTCTTTTAAAAATGCAACTGCCTTGAAGAAGGGCCAAACAATTCATCGAAATATTTTCGAAATCACAACATGACTGAGTGCAATATTCAGTGCAGGAGCTGCCATTTTTGATACAGGTAAAATGTCACAACATACCGTTATAAATGATGCAATGGACAAATGTGATGCTACAGAGATGACCCGGTCTGCAAATCATTTTCTCCAAACGTAGGGGAAGATGCTTGTTTGGTACAGTCCCAGCAAAACCCACATCACTATTGACACTAAAGTCGTGACTCATATCACAATCACAAAATCTGTCAAAATAACTGCAATACATTCAGCCCTACCTAACAGTAACATTAGCATGATAACACATCTCTGGTTAGTCGCCTGATATTTACCATTTTGTTCCACTTCTAATTGCTCAGATATGGGAACTGTAGCAGTCATTTTGATGTGTATATATACTTAATTAATGTCAGTTGTTTTTGGACCTCAAAATGCTAATTGTCATTCATTGTGGTCATCAAATGGTCAAGCAAAAATGGACTATCTTGGAACAATTCAAAAGCAGGCATGAAGTAGCACTGGGGCATTTTCTCCTTTCAAAAACAGTGACATGATCTTTGCCAGTGTGAACAGAGGAAGTGATTTGAGTCATCAGGGCAGGAAGACGGTATATTTGATACTGTTTGCGAGATTTATCGACTGAGGCCGACGAATGGTAAAGAAAAAATGCATCATTCTAACGAAGATTGTTGCCGTCTCTGCGATGACAGGCTGTACATTCACTTTGTTCTTTTAACACCATCAATTATTTCCTCCCACTTATTCTGATTGTTTTGACACAACTATACTGCCACATAACTCAGCTGTGATTGTGCTGGGTGATGGCAGCACCTGGCATCTGCATTACTCAAGAAATTACTCATGGAAATCAGCTGCAGAAGATAATAAACCCTGAGGGGGTTTCAGTCCTCTCCCTCTGCGTGTGATAGGTACATATGTGATCAACTCACACATGACATGGAATTAGGCAGTCTCAGTCAGTTTCAGTAAAATCCCCCCTCAGTTTTTGTTAAATCTTTTTTGACACAGTAAATGACAGTCAGCTGTCAAACTGGCCTATGAGAGAGAAGCTGAGAGTAATTAATAATGGAAGCCGTATAATTAAATGTGTTAAGTGTCGACTTCAACTATTTTCACAAATTTTCAGGCCTCTCTTTATCGTGTAATCGCTGTTCTCTTACGAGAGCACTAGTGTTTCTACAAAGAGGATCACACCTGGTGTCAGGTATCAGTCTGTATCCAGATATGATGATCGATGCAATCACAACATTTACGTTTATAGCAGGTATATATACAGTTTGTGTTCCCACTGCTGGCATGCTAATTGCATTTTCACACATACTATGCTGAGCAGACAGTAGGAGGAGAAGCACTGTAAACAAAAGCAATAGTAGTGATTGCTTACTGTTATTGGATGCATTATTATACAGCCCACAACTGGGTTTATACTTGAAAGGAAAATGTCTTAGGCAACAGTAGTCGTAGTATTAGTGATTGCTAATAAATAACCTGCTGTTAATGTGGAGGCATTTTATCTGTAAACTCACAGTACTGTATGTAAAGGATTACTTCAAAGAAATATGTCCATGAGATCTTGAAGAACTTCCTATATGTCGAAATAGTAAATGAAATGCAGTGAAAATAATGGTTATGAGATAAAACTGAAAACATTCATCTGTAAATCCACTAAGCTACACTGCAACAACACTTGTATTTGTCTGAGCAGAATGCTAACAATGGACTGACCATGTGCTGCTAAAGCATGCACCAGTGTTTCCATTGATCTCTTGCTAGCTGCACCAGGTACTTGTACGTTTCCCTGGATGAAATTCTGCTTTTTACAGTATTGCGTGTCTGAGGTGTTTTTTATTAAAAAACGTATTTTGTCCTATTACAGTGCAAGCAAATAGCAGCAGCAGCATTTTCTGTCAGTACTGTCTTTAATAATTTCAAAGCGTTATCGACACAAACATCTCTTCATCGCTTTACAGCTATGTCCACACTACTACGTTTTAGTTTTAAGATGCATCTCTTGTGCTACGTTTACGTCTGCCGTCCACACTACTCCTAAAACTGAGACTTTTGGAAAAGCTGCTGGACCCGATTTAGTTTGAAAACTCCAGGGCCTGCATTGGGCAAAAACGGAGACCTTTGGAAATGATGACGTAGACACTCTCAGTCGCTCACAGATTGGGTTTTATCTGCCTCGACTACCAGTGGTGAAAACAACATGGATAACAAAATACAAACAGTTTGTTAGCAGCTGTTGTGCAGTTAAATTTTGCATTTGAACTCTGCAGCTGTTTATGTTGTTCCTCGTTGGTAGTATTTTGTTCGACTAATCAACAGCAGAGTAGCTTCCTGTTTATACCAGTTCGCGCGTTGCCCAGTGTACGTGAATGGTCATGAATATATGAGTTTTCAGGTGTGATTGCGTGGACGGAGATCGTTTCTGATATGGCGCTAAAATGCTCGTCTTTTAAAATGAAAACGCGTCAGTGTGGACGTAGCCTCAGTATCGGTAAAACTGCGATCAGTTCAACTCTAAAGTCGCTAAAGAATCATGAATCATCGGACAGATTAATGTATACAGTGACTGCTTTTCTGTGCAGAAAGGAAAGAGCAGTGAGTTGTGCGAGTGGATTTCCCAGACACTGAGCAGACGGGAAACTTCAGAATGAATCATGATACAGTATCTCTAACCTGTGAATGGTGCTTTCTCACAGCGTGAAGATGATGTTTGAAATTGCAATTCATGACATTTTCACTGTGACTGAGATCAATTAGAAGTGTGAGCTTACCCCTGCCATTAACGTGTCACAATGAAGACTGCATTTTAATTATTCATAAGTGTAAACAAAAAGTAGTCGCCACATTGACAAGTCTTTCAAATGATTTTCTTTAAGCAATTATTCTTTTTTCCCCAATGCGATTTTCTGTAGTGTTTGTTTGATACACACTGCGTGTTGAGATTATCAGATTGATGATAATAATCAGATAATCTGGTATCAAAAGAAGTCATTCTTTACATCCTGGAAGCTGGGTGTGATGTAAGTATGTAATGTGACAGAGGGAGAAGAGATTTTTTGATCACACAGCAGGAAACACTTTTGGCCTTATTGCGTCACAGTCCCCGCAGACACATGCACAAACACAATAAATGGATGCGTGGGTGAGGGAGCCATGGGTATGGGCAGGTTTGAATACCTGCAGAGCAAGATCACCTGTCTTGCATCACTCAAACCTGCAGGCAGCCAATAGAAGGACTTGGCTGCGAGTCACAGTGACAGCGGGGGCGGGAATTTCTTTTCCCAGTATGGGTGTGAAAGTTCAGTGATCCACAGCTCCCTTGAAACAGACACACACACACACACACACACACACACACACACACACACACACACACACACAGTGGCAGTGTAACTAAATAAACAACTTATTGAGTACGTGGCCTTGTAGCTTTTGGGAAAGCGAAGTTGCTGTCTCCGCTGTCCCATGTAAACATGACTGAGCAGTAGGCTGAGTCACAAATGCGTGTGTGTTTAAGAGCTCTTGCAGAGATGAGACCCGTCACAAACACCCACACACACACACACACACACACACGCACACACACAACTGTGTGTATCATAGATTACCACTTTCCTCTCTCAAAAAATGCTGATTTCATACATGGTCAATGAGTAATCACTACCATGCAGCATCTTCTGCTTTATCCCTGGTGTATCCAGTCCTCAAAGGAACTGCAATTTTACTAGATGCTTTTGACTGCTTAGAGCTGGGACAAATAATTAATAACACCAATATATTGCAATACAGTCTTTTATTATGCATCATAGACACACAGGCACCAATATAGCATTAGATTACCATATCATTCCTACAGTGCTAGAGCAGAGGCACAGTTTATCCCTTCTCACAGACTCTGAAGCTGCTCTACTTTCCAAAGGTTCATCCTTTGTCCAAATTATGGCTGCTTGTATTTTGAAAAATGTTTCTTACTGTCGAGGTGTGTTTTTTGTGTGAAAGAGATTATTGTTTTTCAACGCAGGGTGTCCCCTAGAAGACTGGCAACAGGAGGTGGAAAGTAGGGGTGGGCATTCTGGCCAAAAGATGTTATAGTTATCATTAAGAAATTACTAAAATTATTAATTATATTAATTATTAAAATTTCTTACCTTATCATACCATATCACAAAACCATCTGTATCATGGCAAAGTCATTGTAATATGTGATTGTGGGTTGGGGTTTGATTAATAACTTTTTTTGGATCAAAAACCACCAAAGTATCACATCCTCTTATTAAATCTGAATCATTTAAAATCCATCATTGAGTTTATTTAGGTTCAGCTTTCACTACTTGCGAGTGCCTAAAGTTATCAATAACTAAAAGCCGAATATGTGTAGTTACCTTTTGTCAGCTGAAAAAGACCAGAGACCATTTTTTAGTGGCTGCCAAAAATATCTTAATATTAAATTGATGATCTTGAAATACTGACGTCAGTCCACTAGGCCAGGGCGATATCCAAAATGTAATATCTCGCTAGCTGAATATTCTGCACATCACAGCTCCTAACTAACAAAAGGGAGGGAAAAAAAAGGTTCGATGTCGATCCGTTAGTCTCCAAACTTCAGATCTTTTGCCAAATTTGGACCAGATCCAAAATGAAACTGACTGTCTGAATCCAACTTTGCGGAGAGCTAAAAAACTGATGAGCTACAGGTTCTTGTCCTGTAATCAGAGCTTCGCAAAAAACGGCCCCAGTGCAAGGATTAGTCTGTGAAGATAGCCAGTCACACCTTCATGTCTGACTGACTGCAGGCCTTCTCACCTGCCCAGGATGCTTAGCAGTCAAGTGAGCCCTGAACTTCTTCAGTCTTTGGATCATCATTAATCACACCTGTCAACACGCACGTAGACATTCTGGTCAGGTGTGCACAGGAGGAGAACTTAAGCGGGAGGAGGAACACCCTACCTTATAACAAGCAGCTTCTTTACTAATATATAGAAAAATAAGGTCACTAAACATGCATGTAGCTTACGTTATATTAGGACATTATAGCAAGATTTAAGTGAGCATAAAGTTACTGTTGAGGTAAAAATGTAGAGTGAAAGAGGGTAAATTGTGTAGAAATTAACACAGTGCCTTGAGCAGACAGTCTTTTCTCATTACATTTGACAGACTCTATGGTAGAGCTTTTAACACCAGCTTATTTGACTGTCAAGTGGTAAGCTAAAGACTTTGTACTTGTGTGACATTTAAATTCGCCTGTACAAAGATTGAATGTAATACTACTTTTGTACTCTGAGCCATTTGCTTTTAAAGTGAAAGCAACCATTAAAAAGTTCACCTCTCTTAATCTTTCTCCTGGCCAGGGCATTGTTTACATTCTGGGTAGGTTCACTCAGAAAGCCTCTCTGATAGCAACGTACAGTACTGCCAGAATTTCCTCTCAGGCTGTGCACAGACTGGGAATAAGCTCTGTCTTTGAGGCCTAATTCAGCCGAGGGGAGATAAAAAGGGAATTGATCTGATGAGACTGGAAATAATAAACACAGTATTCTTATTGATTAAACAGGATCCCCTCTGCGCCCATGTTTTCTGTCACTTTCTACTAAAATCTTTAAAAAAAAATTCTTACAGCTGTGAGAATCATTTCTAAAAAAAAAAAAAAAAGGGGGGGGGCTACCAGGTGCTGACAAAAATAAAAGATTTTTTCAGTTTATTTCAAATTCATTTCAATCCCTAGTAATTAAGTTTAATATTTAACTTAAAGGAACTATTTGTATGTTTTGCTATTGCTACATAGCTAGCATTAGCATTAACAGAATTTTACTTAGCCTTGTAGAAGAAGCGTTTTGAGTTCGGCATAAAAACTTCACTCCTTCTGCTCTACTGAAGTTAGCATGCTAACCAGCTATCCCCAGCTCATCTCGTCATTTTCCAATAGCGACTCATCACGACCCACTTCCGACAAGAAACCACACTCGGCAGCAGAGAAAACTTACAAGTAACCCCTTTAAGAATACAATATGATACCTTGTTTTTTGTCTGTTTATTTTTTGTTTTTTGTTGTTTTGCGGAATCAAGGATCAGTCTAGGCCTAATCAGTAATTCTAAGCAAAACCCTAAATGTGTGATAATTTTGACGTGTCATAGTTGCAGTTGATTTAAATAAAAAATGAAATAAATAGTGAAATGGTATGCAGCTGATATGGAAGCAGCTTGGTTATTCCTTGTAGGACCACTCAAATAATTCATTACAGATAAATGAATTAAATCACATCTCTGGTGACAACTTCACAACTTCTTCTAATTTTATTTTGGTATGGTTTGTGTGGGAAACGCCTCCTATCTCCTGGTTTTTCACAATTTTTGTTTCATATGGTTTTATCTGTAACATGTTTGCGTACGTGCTGCACTACATAATGTGTCCTGTAGCCAGCATGATAAACACTAGCCTGCACTCAGACCCCACTGCAGTCACCTTGGTGAACCCATAGACCTGTAGGACATATTCACACACTGCAAACTCAGTTCTGGGTGCGCCACAGTCTAGATTTGAATATACAATAGTCTGAATACACTGTATTTGTATTTATATACATAGAATAATCTTTGCAATTATTTGTTTTTTCAGCCCCACCAGAGCAGCCTGTTTGAACATCCCAACCTTAAACAACTTACTTTGTTTTAGATATTATGGAGCCATAAGATCTCATCATAAATCACTTCATATGTTCAAAAGCTGTTTTGTTTTTTTTTCCATGCCTTTAATCCCTTCCACTGTGTCCTCTATAGGTGCAGTATGTCATCCAAGGCTATCACAAGAGGAGAGAGTACATCGCTGCCTTCCTCAGCCACTTTGGAATGTGAGTCGCCTATGGAGGACCACACCCTCCACTGCAGTGATCATGTGTTTTTACAAGAAAGTGCTGCAAGTGTAAAATAAGACCTGGTGACACTTTGCAGAAATGAACATGTGTGTGTTGCAGGGGGGTGGTGGAGTATGACGCCGAGGGATTCACAAAACTCACCCTGCTGCTCATGTGGAAAGACTTTTGCTTCCTAGTGCACGGTAGGAAACTCATCAAACACTCGCACTCTGTTTCACATCTGTTACCTGATGATCCTCCTTTTCTGTTTCTCTCTCGCCCTCTCTCTCTCTCTGTTCCTCTGCTCCTCGTAGTGGATCTCCCGCTGTACTTCCCCAGGGACCAGCCCACCCTCACCTTCCAGTCTGTGTACCACTTCACCAACAGCGGTCAGCTTTATTCTCAGGTGCAGAAATCGTATCCCTACAGCCCGCGCTGGGACGGCAATGAGATGGCCAAGAGGGCAAAGTAAGTAGAATGTGCTGCATTAAAATTCAATCTGTATAGTTTTTTAAACCTTAATAGGTTTTTAAAGCTCCATATTTTCCTCTTCTTCTTTGTTTTATTTGAAATGTTGATCCATAAGAAGATGTAGTTTTACATCTCCTCTCTCAGGCTTCTCTTTGGAGCTTTAGTATTAACAGGTCAGTGAGCCAATCAGAAGAGAGGAGGCTCTGAGCCTCTCTTCTGATTGGCTCACTGTTTTCTGATCAAATAAAATATAGCAGTTTTCAGGTAAACACTTAGAGAAACCAAATCCTGCAAGGTTGGATGGTGAGTCCAGGTGGGCGGGGCTTGAGAACCGTGACTGCTTTAATTATTATGTTGTGACATCACAAAGTTACAGAAGTCCTGACGGCTGGTTTTAGGGCTCACTTTTCTGAATACAGTAAAATACAATTCTAATTTTCCGAGACCGTTGAGCCCATTAAAACTATTTATAACAAAGCACTCCAAGAATGAATAGGATGTTTGACATGCATTAGATGCAGAATGACAGAACAGGACCTTACTGTGTGGGCTATGCTACACATAAACCATTTGTTGATATTCACAGATTTCATTTCACCCTCAGTAAATAAAAACTGGCACGACCCCATACAAGTAAATCTATAGGCGTCATCTGTGGTTTGCACAGTGCGAGGCAAAGATTAATAACTGCTGTAAATATTTGAAAGATTTGAGTGACCGTAGAAGGCAACACATAATCTGTAGATTATGGGATTGGGTATTCATTTACTAATCTGTTCAGTCTTAATATCTCCACTTAAAAATCTGTGAACCTCTGAATTCCCCCGTTAACTCCTGCATTTGACTTCAACAATTTTGGCGCAGCAAAGGTTGTTTAAAGGGAAACTGTGGTGTTTTTCAACAACGTTGTGGATGTTGTGACCATCATGTCAGGCTTTGCATTCTCCACATCAACTGGAGAGATTTTGGAAACGTCTCAGGTAAAAAAAAAAACAGTGTATATCAAGCGCTGTTTTGAAACAAACACACTAACGTACCTAACCCTAACCTGAACGCACCACCTAAATATATGGCTAAATATCTTGCAGATTTTTTTTTTTTTTTTTACCCCCTGATTTCTTTGCTTGTATTTGAGTTGCCTCTTGTTTTTCACCCATGAGTGTTAACACACAGAGACAGCACACGCCTCATGTACATTAGTAGTTGTAACAAGTAAAGACTCTCTGCCTTTCATCTGCATTTTGATACATACTGTACTGTGGCTGGGGCTGACCCGGTGAATTTGTTAGATGCTTTGAAGCGGTTGAAACACAATTATTGTCACATTTTGATGTTTCATTTGCCGCACTCTTCACGTGCCCGCCCCCCGCCTCCCACCTCCCTCTCTCTGTCTCCCACCCAGGGCGTACTTCAAGAGCTTCATCCCTCAATTCCAAGAGGGAGCCTTTGCCAACGGGAAACTCTAGTGCTCTCTAGCTTAATGACATGCCTGGAGAGTTGCCAGTGGGAGTGTGTATGTGAGCGTGTGTTTGTGCATGCCATTGTGTATACCTGTATGCACAGACGGTACAGTACTTTTCTCAAATGAACAGTACACTGAGAATGACAGTGTGCGTTTTTGCACACAGACTAAGTTGTTTGGCCTTGAATTTGTTGCCTCTTAGTCAATAACTTCACTTTTTATTTACTCGTAGAGGCACTGCAACATGCTACAGCTAAAAACCAGCCCTAATGATGATAGATTATCACTATTGCTAGCACAGTAAAGGGCCTTTATTTTGAAAAGAAACTCCATACTCTGACAGGAACTTAATTTGACAAACTGTACAGACTACAGTCTGTTTTATTGTGTTGTGCCAATGGCGCCTGGCTTCAAGCAGTTAAATCTCAAAGGCTGGGGCTCACAACACTCCATCCAGAGGTGCCGTGCCGGGAGAAACAGACGTTTGTTGATATGTAAACAATATGTAAACTGTATTACCTACACAACGAGCTGTAGGGAGGATGCAAAACACCATTGCTTCTGTTTGTCTGTCGTTCACCAGATTGTCTGAATTTTGGCTCCACTGTCAATGTTTAAATCATCTCCAACTTGCCTTTTAATTGTTAAAATGCTGTATGCTTTATGACTATATGACATGACTATTTGAAGCTTCGTCAGCTTTTCCTGACATGTTGACTGTACTGTAAGTTAATTATGTTTTGTCAAAATTTCTACCCAGTAAAGAAGAAGTGTGTCTCCTCTGACATTGTGTCATTGTTTTGTGTATAGCCTGCATTTATATGCCTCTGCGCCAGCGACAGCCACAGCTGGAGCCATACTGTCAGTAACACCTTAGTGGAACTTCTTCACATTTGTCATAAACATTCACGAGGACTCAAAGAGAAGCTGATTAGATTTTGGTGGTCAAAGGTCAAGGTCACGGTGACCTCACAAAATACTTTTTAACCATTATTCAAGACTTCACACAGAAATTATAACAAAATTTCAAACAAATGGTTCATATTTTATAGTCTGAGTGTCAGAGGCAGACAACCACTGGCCATTGTATTATTAGGAAATTGCTACTGAAAAATGTAACGGAATAATAGAAATGCTTGTCATGACATTATTTCTAAGGATTAAAGGATAATGTCTTAAAAAAAATGTCTTAAAAAACAGGCTGTTTAAAAAATATCAGGCAACCAGAGTCATCAGGATTCGTCATTTGGGAACCGGTTTTTCATTCATGCATCCAGGAGAGATATTAGATATTTCAACGGATAAATGAAAACTTTGAACTGCTGGTGGCACTACATGAAAAGTTAAGACATCACCAAAGCCATTAGGCTTTATCTTCTGAGGTCTGCAGGAAATTTAATGGCAATCCAGACAGTAGTTGTTGAGACATTTGAGTCTGAACCAAAGTGATGGACTGACACTGGCATCCAAAGCCACACTGCTAATGTGGCTAAAAACAGAAATTGATATTTCTGAAAAAGAGACAAAAACACTGTAGGACATTTTTTAAGGGAAACAATTTTTGAAATCACACATGTCACCCTCTTACTCTCATAATAAAGCTTAAAATGGCTCTCTGCCCTGCACTATAATACATTTATAAACCATAGAGATGATGTGAATTGGTAAGAGTGTTTTTGAAGGACCCTGATGTTCTTGTATATTATAGAGCCACAGCACAGAGAGAACGACTTTGTGTGTGCACATGCCCATGAATGGATGTGCACATGCATGTGCTTGAGCGAGGCGGAGTGTGTGCTTGCTTGTTTTCATCATTAAATATGAGGGTCATAGTTAGGGGTCCTTCCTGGCCTAAGGCGCAGCCCTTTGCTATATTTATTGTTGGTAATGCAGCAACTGTCAAGTCTAATTGAGAACTATAGGGTGAATGTATCTGGGGCATTTAATAGCATCAAGGCTCTTAATAAAATAATTAAAAAGCAAGATTCTTTTTGTCTTTTTCACTGCCCCGCTCCATGTTTCTTGCTCTAACCTTTCCCGACCTGCTTTCAAAACATCTATGTTGTCAGCCGCGGGACGAGCTGCTCTCATTTTGGAGAGCTGGGGGGATGTTTGAGAGGGAAGGAGTTCAAAGGAGGGGTAGCAGGATGATGGGTAGCATCTTTAACAAGCTCGGGCAAAGAATAGTTTAAACTTGACAGTCAACTCCAGACATCACAACTTTGCATTCAAAGGTACCAACTGATTTTAAATAACGGCGGATCTCAGCGTGGATTCATCCATACGTTGTGTGTGAATCTGAATTGGTGATTTGAAACACAAAAGAGTAAGTGAATCGTTAGCTCAAAATGTATCTTAAATTATTCCACTGAATGCAGACCATGACGTTGCAGTATGTCAAGCGTGCCGACTTGGATTGTCAATCTGGAAAAAAAAAAAAAAAAAAAAAAAAAGGATTCAATGCTTGCATTTTCCCTCTGTCCTTGATGTTGACTCAAGTTGACATAAGCCCTTTAAGTAACTTGTAAACAATTCCCTCCAAAGTGGCTTAAAACTGTGTCACAGCTGCAATGCTCAGGTCACATTTAGTTAGCCTCCTCCCTCAAAAGTGTCTGCGCCTGAACACGGCTCACCTTTACACGCTCTTAAGCAACTTAACATGGATTTATCCAGTGTAATGATCCTGTGAAGGTGCTGCTCAAGGTACCTTTTGAAGATGCGTTTCTCAGCCCCCTGAATCACAGTGCAGAGGTCTGTCAACCCTCCGAGCTAATACTCCAAATCCACTAATCCAGCCGTCTTTAAGAGATCTCAACGGCAGTCGGATGGAATAATTAAAGGCTGGAATAATTAGCTTGGAATCTGCGGACGGGGGATGATTAAATTGATGAGTGGTTTTTTTTTTTTTTGTTTTTTTTGTCTTTTTTTTTTTTTTTCTATTTTTTGTGGTCCAGCCGAGTTCACGCTTTGCTGGACTTTGACTCGATTTGAGGGACAATTGAAGATGTAATGGTCATTGTCCCTCAGAGGATGAACGGGCAATTGAGTGGTGTTTTAGCTTTGTTTTAACCTTTTTTTTTTCTTTTTTTTTTTTGCATGGCTTGAAGGTGAAAAGAATCCCATCTCCACCCTTAACACTTGACTTGTTAGTGGTGGGACAGCTAATCTAACACAAGCTAACAGAGTATATAATAGAGGGCATGGACTTGATGCTAACACAGGCCTATCTGTCCCAGAAACAGGTGTCCTTAGCTCAAGGGAGCTGGCAAACATGAATATTAGCATTAGATTAACATTAACTGCTCTGGTGACAACCCTATAAGCAGCTAGCTCAGAGGCAGTAAGGACCTGCCAGCCTGGAGAACTGACAAGTGTGTGAAACAGGATCACTTAAAGCTCGAGCACCTTCCTGGGCAATAACCCGGAGTTAGCTCTCGGCATCACTCACCCCGCTTCACCTCAGAAGTCGGGCCAGTCGCCAAGAAACTTTTTTTGAAGAAGATGAAGAAGAAGAAGGAAAAAAAAGTATGTCGAAAGTGGACAAAAAGTTGCGGGCACAGACGCCGGGAGTGTATACGGAAAAAATGATAACAGAAAAGGAGGGAAAGTGTGTGAGAGATGATTGAAAATCCTGAATCATCACCTCGTGAACTGAGATGGTAAACAGCCGGGGCAGCAGCAGCAGCAGCAGCAGCAGCAAAGGATGAGGTAATCAGAGGGAAACAAGGAGTCTCCAAAAGGCCTGAATATGTCAGAGAGCGGTAAAAGGCGGACAGCTGCCTCATTCGACATTGTTTACTTTATTCTCCTGTCACCGCGTCCAAATCTGCTCGATCTGTCAGCCTCGCCTGCTGATTCTGTTTCTCATCTTTATTTTTCTTACAGCGGCCCTTTGACTTAACATCTTCCTCCAGAAAAGACAAAAGACAGTTGGCCAAGTGAAAAAGGAGGGGGGTGAAATCACAAACTCTGACTGTGGGGTACTTTGTATTTTTTCTGTAAGTACAAATTCAGAGTGACATATGGGGAGTTTTCCTGCCCCCCCGCCCCCCCCCACCCCACCCAACCCTCCCACATCTTCGCATTTGGAGGATGGTGCTGAAGAGGATGTGTGTGTGTGTGTGTGTGTGGTGTGTGTGTGTGTGTGTGTGTGTGTGTGTGAGGAGGGGTGGATTTCAGAGGCTATGCAGCATTTGCGATGCAGCGTAGGGTTGTTGATGCGAGCCATGTTGAGGATGATGGAGCTGAGAGGCTTAACTAATTTTGGAAAGAGAGAGCAGGAGGAGGAGAGCGGAGGGGGGATTTGGGGCCTTTTGTTACAGCCTGTTTGATCTGGGAATTTGAAAAAAAAAAATGGCCCAGAGATGTCGTGAAAATGAGAGAATTACTGCTCGGGTCCCTCACTCTTCTTTTTTATCAAACTCGAGTAACACGGGAATTCTAATGCACTCCCAAGTCAAAGCGGCAGATATTTTTCCTCGCCACCCCCCCACCCCCCCACCCCCCCCCGCCCCCCTTCCAACACCACCCCCCCCACCCCCACCCTTCTTGCTTACAGATTAATAACTGGATCTAGTTAAACCCTGATTGTTAATTGCTAATTACTCCTCGTACACTCCGAAGCCAGGAGAGCGTAGCTAAGCTGATCAAATGAGTCTTCGCTCTGGAGCTTGTAGGTTTCCCTGTTTTGTCTCGTCCCCGTGTTGTCGAGGCGTTCTGGATGGGCTTGTTTTCGATGGCTTTTGACAAGATAAAGACAGATTTTTTTTTTTTTTTTTTTTTTTCGAAGAGTGGAAAGTGTGTGTGTGTGTGTGTGGGTGTGTGTGTGTGGGGGGGTGTGATGGAGTGGTGGCCCCCTCCTCTTTTTCCCCTGGGTGTGATCATCAGAGACACTTGATTTAAACCTTTCATGGGTTAACCGGAACACATCCCGCAGGTGTTTTCTCTCTCTCAGCTCCCCTCCGTTGAGCAAGCCGCTTGGCCTTGGTTCAGTGTGTTTGATTGTCGTGAAAGCTGAGACTCAATTTGCTTAAAAATACTCTGGCACCCTGTGTTTCCTCGGCAGAAAGAGGGATTCGAGGCTTTAACGGAGGTTTTAAAGGTAATGTTTGGCAACAATCGCTCATTCACAAAGCATTATCTCAGAATCACTTTATTACCAGGTGGTTCTGTCAAACCGCGGAGCGCTCAGTCATGCTGAAAGATGTGACTTCTGACTTACTTTACTTAATTTACTCCTCTTGTCGTGTATGTGTTGTTTTACTCCTCTTGCCTCTCATCCCCAGATTCCTCCCTCTCCATTTTTTCCTCCTCCTCCTCCCCTCCATCCCTCCATCCCTCCATCCCTCCACCAGCTACCTGAGGAGCTGTCAGTCTGGATTGCCGCGCTGTCGGTTCAGCCTGTCAGGCTGAGGGACGCGTTCTGATCAGCCGTGGACACTGATAGACCTGTCAGGTGAGATGACAGCCGCGAGTGAAGACATGCGCAGACAGGTACATGTAATGTGACAAGACTCTTTCATCCCTCCACCACCACCACCACCACCACCACCACCACCGCTGCCACTACCACCAACACCAACACCACCACCACCCCTTCCAACTTCCCTTCACTTCACTTTCTCCCCATCCAAAAAAGAAATATCCGTGCGTTTGGAAGTTGGAAGAGTGCACAAGGGATGAGCGTGTTTATTCCTGACGAGTTGAGGGAAAGTTTTCTTTTGAGGCTGAGCGGATGTGATGCGGCCACGTGATGAGGTACGGCCCGGGCATCAGTTTAGCCTCA